CTCCCTCACCCCCGCCCCGTGTGGTGACGTCATAGCTAATTTGCGTAATGTGCCAGGATCAGTCACCTCGTGGCACGTCTCTCACAGACGTCCAGTTCGGGGGCTACCGGCGAGCCCAGCGTGCTCCCATCCCTCACCCCTCGATCCACCAAGTCCCAGAGTTCTTCATTGCAAGGCCCGTCAGCCACTGGCGTCCCCTGGTGGTCTTTAGTGCGCCCCCCCCCCCCCAACAACAACAATACACAACACGTGAAAACACCCCTCCATCATCGTGCTGCTGTCAACCCCGAATGGTTTTAAATGTGTGGCTGACCTCACACTCATGATTTCTCGCCCCCCTCCCCCCCCCTGTGAGAATTAGTGAAGAAAACTGCCCTATCCCCGACCACCGCTCCCCTCCATCCCCTTGCATCATCTCGATCCTCCTTCCCATCCTCCCACTTCTTGTTGCTTCATTCCTTGACCCCCACCCCTCCCCTTGACCCCCGACTCATAGATCCCCCACCAATGTCCTCGCCTCACTCTTCCACATCCTAAACCATTGCTCCATCATCCACCCTCCTACCACGTTTGAAATCCCACTCCTCCTCCCACACTCCTGAACCATTTCTGCACCCAACACCCACAACCCCCCTTCCTCCAAACCCCTCCCATTGCTCCCCACTTTCCACCTCAAGCCAAACATCCCTCCACCCTCCTCATTTCACCCCAAGCACTTCCCAGTCCTCCCCTTGATTCCCCACATACCCCCATCCCCCCACTATGCCATGATCCCACACACTCCTACCACCACCTATGATCTCCCCCCCTCCTCTTGATCCCTACACACTTCCCCTATCTCAAGATTATCCGCCCTCATTTCCTAAATCTCCCATTTCATGCCCCTATTCCATACATTGACTCCCATCCCTCAATTCCCTCCCTACCCCTCCCCCTCTGCTCCCCCACTCTCTCCTCCTTCCCTTAGCCCCGCCCGCACGCCACCTTCCTCCTTGATCCCCCCTCCCCTCCCCCCCCCACATTCCTGCCCCCGCCCCTCGGTGCGCTGACGTCACGGTAACGCGTGACCCAGGCCGCCACATGGGCGTGGATGACGTCAGCCCGCGGCGTGACTCACTGCTGTCCCCAATGGATGGGGATAGAAGATCCATCCAGTGATTGACTTAAAGATTTCGTGACTGCAGGAATTCATATGCTTGGGTCTTTCGGTAAAGTCACGTAGATAGGTTTATTTCTGTTATTTTCTTTGAACCTATCTACGTGACTTTACCGAAAGACCCAAGAAGATCCATCCACTGCTGTACCCAGTCATAGCCAGCTATGGCTGCAGGGTTTTGGGAGTACATGTTGTTTATGCCATTTATTGTGAAAATTCCGTCACAGTTCCTATGATCAGTTTCATTGGTTTCATGGCTTTATTTTGGTGATTTCGAAAAGTGTATAGGTTTAGCCATGTTTGTTTGTTGTAGTACAGAGTTAGACTGATGGCCTTAATCTAAGTTGTCTTGTGGTTGTTGTTGGTTGTTTGACTTGCATCCCACTGGGATTTTTGCACACAGCGTTGGTGTACGGTATTTTTTTCTGCAATATTTAGCTGTCTTTTCTTGGATTTTCTGTTTGCACTCAGTTACATATTCACTTTAAGATGTTTTTGTTCATGTTTGTTGTTTGTTGCGGTTGCACCCGATTCAAGAGCCGAATGGCTCACAGGGCTATACCTAATAAATGAACTTGAACTTGGTGACAGAAGATTCGCAGCGCCCGTGACAATCTCACCGCGTATATCAATCCAATACTTTGCGTAGAAATCGACGAGTTAGTGTTCACGGATGTTATAGGAGAGAACGTGAACATGACCTCTCGGCTAATGGACACGCACGAGAAAGAACTGGCCATAACAGCATACGAGACGGAGAGTGAAATAAAACAACACAGTTCTGTATATCCTTGAATCGTGATCCAGATGCTGAATTTTGAAGACCCAAGTTATCGCAGAGGGTGATTAATCGTCATGGGTTGAATGAAAACCTCGCGCAGCAGACACTGAAATCTCCACGAAACGCAATGATAAAGACAATGGATATCCAAGTAAATTTGGCAACGTTGGTTCAACGGTACCAAGCACATGCCAACGTTACGAATCGACCCACATCGTCACCAGCAAATCCCTCTGACCCTGTGATGCACGCTTGTGCATCTCGGCGTGGAAATAAAACTAAAAATATGCTCACATGCTCGTCTCTCTGAGCAGCTCCGATCCAGCAGTGCATATCCCACGTTCCTATGATGGGGCCCAGTCCAATTACAATATAGAGCTTGCTTATCTCCATGGGCCTTATCAGCTGAAATAAAGTGTTAAAGTCTGAGTCTGTATACAGTACAACGCTTATATAACCTACCCATTTCTAAATACCACTTCCCGATTTGGAAATCGCAATGAAAAAGAGCCATTGGCCGAAACGTCGAAAATTATGTATTTTATATATACTATACGTTTTCCTTTTATGGCAGTGTCATCGACGATTGTTCTTAAATTGTTATTTATGCTTGTGGAACCAGTGATAGTGCAATGTCACACGAAAACTAGAGTGTAGTCTGCAATACCAAATGTAATTTACCCAAGACTTTGTCATGAGGGTCCTACATCGGGATGATTGGCCAGTTCCAAGAATGACTGATTGACTGCGCTGTGGAATGCAACCGAAGAACCCGGAGAAACCCCACAAAGCATATTAGGGGGGTGACATAGAGGCCGTCCCTAAATGACGTCACGCGATTTTGGACGATTTTTGACCCCCCCCCCCCCCTTCGTCACACGGCGTCACAAAAGTCAGACCCCCCCTCAAATATGACGTCACAAAGCTCTGCCCCCCCCCCCCAAATAAAACATGCTTCAAATCGCTTTAAACTATTGTCATTGTAGTGCGTATTTAATGTGGCGCTGCACTCTGATGTTGTAGGAGAAAACATTTATTAAAAAGTCTAATTACGTTGAACGTGTTGTCTATATTTATTTAAAGTTGCGTATTTTGATGTGACGTCACATTTCTCAACCCCCCCTCGTCACACATCGTCACAAATGTCTGACCCCCCCCCCCCCCTAGGTGCGTGACGTTATTTATGGACGGCCCCATTTCTCCGCACAGATAGATTCAATAAGCAATTGCTGAACTCGCATTTCCTGGCATCTGTATTACCTTCACACATACTATGATGTTACAAAGCAAGCAATCCGCCCATGCTCGAATCATCCGGATAGAAATGTGTCCGATCTGAACAGATCTCGGAAGACAAGCAGGGTTTTGAGCCTGGTTAGTGCTTTGCACCGATGAGTTCTAGGCTACATGGTGGGAACCAGAGGACGGTGTAGCAAAATCCATTAATTATACTGGTAGGAACCCACTGGTTCCACCAGCCCACAGGGGATTATTGTGTCCGTCCGTTGTGCAGGGAGGGGCTGGGTGGGGAGGGGCTGGGTGGGGATGGGAGGGTGGGTTGGGGCTGGGTGGGGGGTGGGAGGGGTGGGGCTGGGTGGGGAGGGGCTGAGTGGGAGGTGGGAGGGGTGGGGCTGGGTGGGGAGGGTGGGGCTAGGGTGGGGGGTGGGAGGGGTGGGGCTGGGTGGGGAGGGGCTGGTCACCCCGTGGTGCCCTTATAAAACTGAACGTTTAACCTACTCACGCCGGCTTGTGCCCGCCCTCACAGTCGGGAATATTTGCGGAATACACCACGCCGCCGTTGACCCTGGCCATTGACCGAGCAAACCAACGTTCCTACCAGCTCCCTCCGCAGGAATGTGTTATTATTGTATATCTCTGCTCCGGCATTGTTTCATTGCCTCCCCTTCTCTCTGTGTGTCACATTGTTCGGGGTGTCTACTCTCGTCTCTCGCACCCCCCCTCCCCTCTCTCTCTCGACTCGATTGCTGCCCCCTGAGAGAGGCGGCGGGGCGACTTGATATGGGAGGGAACAAAAAATAACAGGGAGAAGAGGCTTGTACCCTTGAGGGAATGGACCGTGACATTTAATAAACAGCCGAGGAGAGGTCTGCACGACTTGCCGGTTGGCAATAACCATCGTGCTCTGTGTGTCAATTGGCCAGTCTTGCAGAATGCCACGTGGCTGTTGGGATGGTTGCCCATGATCACACACGGGTGTGTGTGTTTTTTCTCCCCCCAGCTTCAAGAACTTCATTCAAACGCACTTTTCACACGTATCTATCCACTGCTGCTACCAGTAGAGGAGGGACAGAAGATCCAACCACTTTTTTTCGTGACTGGTTCATGAGGTATAACTTGTAGAAAAAAAAGAGACTCGTCTCAATGGGCTTTCCTCTGGCAGCCAACGTAAAGTTAAATAATAAGTCCACGGAACTGTATGTATGCATGCATGCACGTGGTTTACAAGGCGGATTTCCACAGCCTATTCATTTTACTTGCAATATGGGAAATAGAAAATTAGTTAGACATATTGATATCATTTGGGTCTTTCGGTAAAGCCACGTAGAAGGGAAATAATAAAATAATAATAAATATATTTTATTAAAAAAAAAGTTTATTTTATTATTTCCCTTCTACGTCACTTTACCGAAAGAACCAAGACTATGAATCCCTGCGGTCACGAAAGCTTTAAATCAAAATAATAATCACGACGTTTCGATCGCAACACACATGATGACGATACACTTCACGTCGAGTGACGTCACGCCACGTGAAGTCACTCGGAATGACGTCATCGCGCGACTTCACACAGTGTGACGTCACGTCACGCGGGGGAACCGCAGGCCCCTCCCCCCCCCGCCCCACGTGTGAGGCCATCCCATCGCGCGCACGCGCACGGCGCTCGGCGTTTGTAAATCGCAGTCCGCACGCGCCGCTCGCGCCCCCACCCCACTCCGTCTGTGCGTCGGAGGCGAGGTCACGTGCGGGACCACGGGCCAATGAGACGGCGTCGTAGCAGGGGCGCGCGCGCGCGCGTGCCTATCCGCGCTACGAGATTGGAAGGAGCGCGAGGGAGCGAGTGGGTGAGCGAGCGTGGAGTGGAGTTCGTCGCTGGGTCCCGTGAGTGTTGGACGAGTTGCCTCGGGGGGGGGGAGGGGGTGTTTAATAGTGGGGTGGGGGTGCGGGGGGGTGTTTAATAGTGGGGGTGGGGGGGTGTTTAATAGTGGGGGAGAGGGGGTGTTTAATAGTGGGGTGGGGGGTGTTTAATAGTGGGGTGGGGGGTGTTTAATAGTGGGGTGGGGGTGCGGGGGGGTGTTTAATAGTGGGGGTGGGGGGGTGTTTAATAGTGGGGAGATGGGGGTGTTTAATAGTGGGGTGGAGGGGTGTTTAATAGTGGGGTGGGGGGTGTTTAATAGTGGGTGGGGTGCGGGGGGTGTTTAATAGTGGGGGTGGGGGGGTGTTTAATAGTGGGGGGAGAGGGGGTGTTTAATAGTGGGGTGGGGGGTGTTTAATAGTGGGGTGGGGGGGTGTTTAATAGTGGTGGGGGGTGCGGGGGGGTTTAAAGTGGGGTGGGGGGGTGTTTAATAGTGGGGGTGGGGGGTGTTTAATAGTGGGGGTGGTGGGGTGTTTAATAGTGGGGGTGGGGGGTGTGTTAATAGTGGGGGTGGGGGGTGTTTAATAGTGGGGGTGGGGGGGTGTTTAATAGTGGGGGTGGGGGGGTGTTTAATAGTGGGGTGGGGGGGTGTTTAATAGTGGGGGTGGGGGGGTGTTTAATAGTGGGGTGGGGGTGCGGGGGGGGTGTTTAATAGTGGGGGTGGGGGGTGTTTAATAGTGGGGGTGGGGGGGGGTGTTTAATAGTGGGGTGGGGGGGTGTTTAATAGTGGTGGTGGGGGGGTGTTTTAATAGTGGGGTGGGGGGTGTTTAATAGTGGGGTGGGGGGTGTTTAATAGTGGGGTGGGGGGTGTTTAATAGTGGGGTGGGGGGTGTTTAATAGTGGGGGTGGGGGTGCGGGGGGGTGTTTAATAGTAGGGGTGGGGGGGGTGTTTAATAGTGGGGGTGGGGGGGTGTTTAATAGTGGGGGTGGGGGGTGTTTAATAGTGGGGTGGGGGTGCGGGGGGGTGTTTAATAGTAGGGGGTGGGGGGTGTTTATAGTGGGGGGTGGGGGTGTGTTTAATAGTTGGGGTGGGGGGGTGTTTATAGTGGGTGGTGGGGGGTGTTTAATAGTGGGGGGTGGGGGGGGTGTTTAATAGTAGGGGTGGGGGGGGTGTTTAATAGTGGGGGGTGGGGGGTGTTTAATAGTAGGGGTGGGGGGGTGTTTATAGTGGGGGTGGGGGGGTGTTTTAATAATGGGGGTAGGGGGGGTGTTTAATAGTGGGGTGGTGGGGGTGTTTAATAGTGGGTGGGGGGGTGTTTAATAGTGGGGTGGGGGGTGTTTAATAGTGGGGGGGGGGGTGTTTAATAGTGGGGTGGGGGGGGTGTTTATAGTGGGGGGGGGGGTGTTTAATAGTGTGGTGTTGGGGGGGGTGTTTAATAGTGGGGGTGGGGGGGTGTTTAATAGTGGGGTGGGGGGGGTGTTTAATAGTGGGGTGGTGGGGGGTGTGTTTAATAGTGGGGTGGGGGGTGTTTAATAGTGGGGGTTGGGGGTGTTTAATAGTGGGGTGGGTGTTAATAGTGGGGGTGGGGGGGTGTTTAATAGTGGGGTGGGGGGTGTTTAATAGTGGGGTGGGTGTTTAATAGTGGGGTGGGGGGGTGTTTAATGGGTGGGGGGTGTTGTTAATAGTGGGGGGGGGGTGTTTAATAGTGGGGGTGGGGGGTGTTTAATAGTGGGGGTGGGGGGTGTTAATAGTGGGGTGGGGGTGTTTAATAGTGGGGGTGGGGGGTGTTTAATAGTGGGGGTGGGGGTGTTTAATAGTGGGGTGGGGGGGTGTTTAATAGTGGGGTGGGGGGTGTTAATAGTGGTGGGGGGTGTTAATAGTGGGGGTGGGGGGTGTTTAATAGTGGGGTGGGGGGTGTTTAATAGTGGGGTGGGGGGAATAGTGGGGGTGGGGGGTGTTTAATAGTGTGGGTGGGGGGTGTTTTAGTGGGGGTGGGGGGGGGTGTTTAATAGTGGGGGTGGGGGGTGTTTAATAGTGGGGGTGGGGGGGTGTTTAATAGTGGGGGTGGGGGGGTTTAATAGTGGGGGTGGGGGGTGTTTAATAGTGGGGTGGGGGGGTTTAATAGTGGGGGTGGGGGGTGTTTAATATGGGTGGGGTGTTTAATAGTGGGGGTGGGGGGTTTTTATAGTGGGGTGGGGGGTGTTTAATAGTGGGGGGTGGGGGTGTTAATAGTGGGGGTGGGGGGTGTTTAATAGTGGGGGTGGGGGGGTTTAATAGTGGGGGTGGGGGTGTTTAATAGTGGGGGTGTGGGGTGTTTAATAGTGGGGTGGGGGGTGTGTTTAGTGGGGGTGGGGGGTGTTTAATAGTGGGGGTGGGTTGTTTAATAGTGGGGGTGGGGGTGTTTAATAGTGGGGGTGGGGGGGTGTTTAATAGTGGGGGTGGGGGTGTTTAATAGTGGGGTGGGGGGGTGTTTAATAGTGGGGTGGTGTGGTGGGGGTGGGGGGTGTTTAATAGTGGGGTGGGGGTGTTTAATAGTGGGGGTGGGGGGTGTTTAATAGTGGGGGTGGGGGGGTGTTTAATATGGGTGGGGGGTGTTTAATAGTGGGGTGGGGGGTGTTTAATAGTGGGGTGGGGGTGTTTAATAGTGGGGTGGGGGGTGTTTAATAGTGGGTGGGGGGTGTTTAATAGTGGGGTGGGGGTGCGGGGGGGTGTTTAATAGTAGGGGTGGGGGGGTGTTTAATAGTGGGGTGGGGGGTGTTTAATAGTGGGGTGGGGGTGCGGGGGGGTGTTAATAGTAGGGGTGGGGGGGGGGTGTTTAATAGTGGGGGTGGGGGGGTGTTTATAGTGGGGTGGGGGGTGTTTAAATAGTGGGGGTGGGGGGGTGTTTTTAATAATGGGGGTAGGGGGGGGTGTTTAATAGTGGGGGTGGGGGGTGTTTAATAGTGGGGTGGGGGGGGTGTTTAATGTGGGGTGGGGGGTGTTAATAGTGGGGGTGGGGGGTGTTTAATAGTGGGGTGGGGGGGGTGTTAATAGTGGGGTGTGGGTGGGGGGGGTTGGGGTGGTAATAGTGGGGTGGGGGGGTGTTTAATAGTGGGGGTGGGGGGGTGTTTAATAGTGGGTGGTGGGGGGTGTGTTTAATAGTGGGGTGGGGGGGGTGTTTAATAGTGGGTGGTGGGGGTGTTTAATAGTGGGGGTGGGGTGTTTAATAGTGGGGGTGGGGGGGTGTTTAATAGTGGGTGGGGGGGGGTGGTGTTTAATAGTGGGGTGGGGGTGTTTAATAGTGGGGTGGGGGGGGGTGTTAATAGTGGGGTGGGGGTGTTTAATAGTGGGGTGGGGGGGTGTTTAATAGTGGGGGTGGGGGGTGTTTAATAGTGGGGGTGGGGGGGTGTTTAATAGTGGGGTGGGGGGTGTTTAATAGTGGGGTGGGGGTGTTTAATAGTTGGGGTGGGGGGTGTTTAATAGTGGGGGTGGGGGGTGTTTAATAGTGGGGTGGGGGGTGTTTAATAGTGGGGGTGGGGGGTGTTTAATAGTGGGGGTGGGGGGGTGTTTAATAGTGGGGTGGGGGGGTGGTTAATAGTGGGGGTGGGGGGGGTGTTTAATAGTGGGGGTGGGGGGGTGTTTAATAGTGGGGGTGGGGGGTGTTAATAGTGGGGGTGGGGGTGTTTAATAGTGGGGGTGGGGGGTGTTTAATAGTGGGGGGGGGGTGTTTTAATAGTGGGGGGGGGGGGTGTTAAGTGGGGGTGGGGGTGTTTAATAGTGGGGGTGGGGGTGTTAATAGTGGGGGTGGGGGGGTGTTTAATAGTGGGGGTGGGGGGTGTTTAATAGTGGGGGTGTTGGGGGGGGTGTTTAATAGTGGGGGTGGGGGGTGTTTAATAGTGGGGTGGGGGGTGTTTAATAGTGGGGGTGGGGGGTGTTTAATAGTGGGGGTGGGGGTGTGTTTAATATGGGTGGGGGGGTGGGGGGGTGTTTAATAGTGGGGGTGGGGGGGTGTTTAATAGTGGGGTGGGGGGGTGTTTAATAGTGGGGGTGGGGGGGTGTTTAATAGTGGGGGTGGGGGGTGTTTAATAGTGGGGGGTGGGGGTTTAATAGTGGGGGTGGGGGGTGTTTAATAGTGGGGGTGGGGGGTGTTTAATAGTGGGGGTGGGGGGTGTTTAATAGTGGGGGTGGGGGGTGTTTAATAGTGGGGGTAGGGGGGGTGTTTAATAGTGGGGGTGGGGGTGTTTAATAGTGGGGGTGGGGGTGGTGTTTAATAGTGGGGGTGGGGGGTGTTTAATAGTGGGGGTGGGGGGTGTTTAATAGTGGGGGTGGGGGTGTTTAATAGTGGGGTGGGGGGGGGTGTTTAATAGTGGGGGTGGGGGGGTGTTTAATAGTGGGGGTGGGGGGGTGTTAATAGTGGGGGTGGGGGGGTGTTTTAATAGTGGGGGTGGGGGGTGTTTAATAGTGGGGGTGGGGGGGTGTTAATAGTGGGGTGGGTGTTTAATAGTGGGGGTGGGGGGTGTTTAATAGTGGGGGTGGGGGGTGTTTAATAGTGGGGGTGGGGGGGTGTTTAATAGTGGGGGTGGGGGGGGTGTTTAATAGTGGGGGGGGGGGTGTTTAATAGTGGGGGTTGGGGGGGTGTTTAATAGTGGGGGTGGGGGGGTTGTTTAATAGTGGGGGTGGGGGGTGTTTAATAGTGGGGGGTGGGGGGTGTTTAATAGTGGGGGTGGGGGGTGTTTAATAGTGGGGGTGGGGGGTGTTTAATAGTGGGGGTGGGGGGTGTTTAATAGTGGGGGTGGGGGGTGTTTAATAGTGGGGGTGGGGGGTGTTTAATAGTGGGGGTGGGGGGGTGTTTAATAGTGGGGGTGGGGGGGGTGTTTAATAGTGGGGGTGGGGGGGTGTTTAATAGTGGGGGTGGGGGGGGTGTTTAATAGTGGGGGTGGGGGGGTGTTTAATAGTGGGGGTGGGGGGGTGTTTAATAGTGGGGTGGGGGGGTGTTTAATAGTGGGGGT